TTTTTTTAGCTGATGGACTATCTTGAGTCACATGGCAATTTTGAAACTGAGGCAGAATTAGAACTCAGAAAAGAGGTTCTGAAGAGTATTAATTCTTTGGTTAAGAAGTGGGTCAGAGAAGTTTCTGAAAGGAAGGTAAAGCTTCTGTACTGATTGTGACTGAAACTTTTATTTTATCACTTGAGGTTCATATGCGAAAGCGAAACTTTTCCAAAATATTTTATTTGCTCATAATGAATTACTCTCTTTCTAGTGATAAAGCTTCTTCCTTTACTTTTTCTTGTATGGTTTATCTCAGTTATTTTTTAAGAACATGCCCCCTGATGAAGTTGAAAAAGTTGGTGGAAAGTTGTTTGTGTTTGGTTCTTATCGTCTCAATGTTCATACTAGAGGTAAGGATTTTGGCATTTAATGAATAAAGTACATTTCTTGAAATTTTCTGTCTTATTCCTTCTCTTCTGGCAGTAGTTACATCTTTTTCTGAATGTTTTCTTGTTATTCATGTAAGTGGTAGGTTGATTTGCGCTTAAAATTTCTATTTTTATGAAGTTATTTTTTACTGTTGTTAAGTAAATCAGAAGTGATCAAAATTTCAGGTGCTGACATTGATTCCCTTTGCGTTGCTCCGAGACATGTAGACCGGAACGAATTTTTTACGTCCTTCTATGACATGCTTGCGCAGGTATTAAAGTCATTAGGGCTTCTTCTACCAATCATTGTTTACTTTGTTGAAATCTTTATCCAGCCATCTTTTAATTTTTAGGACCCTAATACTTCAGAACTCCGACAAGTGCCGGATGCTTTTGTACCTGTGATCAAATTGAAATATCGAGGTATTGAGCTCGATATTCTTTTTGCTAGGTTGGCTTTGACGCGGATACCAGATGACCAACAGTTGAATGACGATAGTATTTTGAAAAACCTCGACGATAAAAGCGTTCGTTCCTTAAATGGTGCCTATTTTTTGAAAGTCTTTTGGCTATCAACTCAGGTAGAGGCATATTTTTGTCATGTATATACTTTATTCTAGGTTGCCGGGTAGCTGATGAGATACTTAGGCTTGTTCCGAATATTGATACTTTCTCACGCACTTTAAGAGCAGTTAAACTTTGGGCAAAAAGTATGTTTCTAATTATCTGTTTGCACCACGTGTAAAATCCTGAAAATCTTCAAAGAAGAAAATTTGTTTATGACTCGGAAACGTTTAGATCACGGTATATATTCCAATGTACTTGGCTTTCTTGGTGGAGTTTCTTGGGCAATATTAGTGGCGCGTACCTGTCAATTGTATCCTAATGCAGTTCCGGCGAAACTGATACAGAAATTCTTCTTAGTGTTTACTAAGTGGTATGCCTGTTCTTTTTTTAAAATATTTTTTGCTGGCAGCAAAAAATAATTTATTACTTTTTATCTTGTGTTTAATTAAACTTACTGCATCTTTATATTCATTCTGGACAGAGATTATCTTTTGAACTTATAGGGCTTGGCCTCACCCCGTAGTTTTAAAAGACACGGATGAAATTTCGAGACCGAAGGATATGCTTCAAGACTTAGTTTGGGATCCGCGAACACGTACAGGAGATAGGTATGAAAAGTTTTCGATATATTGCAGCGAAATACATTACAGTTTCTTCAAAATCTGGAACTATTCGATTGTTTTTCAGGCATCACTTAATGCCAATAATTACACCGGCCTATCCTGAGCAGAATTCAACATTTAATGTTACTCGCTCTACGCGAGCAGTTATCGTCGATGAGATGGAAGAAGGTGAGCTATTGATATTTTAATTTTTTCAAAATTTTCAGAAGACATTTTTGATTTTTTCGTGTTTGATTCTTTATTTAGGCTTAAACATTACTATCGATATTATGAATGGCCACGCAGAGTGGTCGGAATTATTTACAGAAGTGAATTTTTTTTCCCGATATAAACATTTTATTGTGTTGCTGTGCATAGCTCCTACCGAGGTAAATTTACAGATCTTTTCTCTTTTTATCCGTTACAGGAAGA